AGGTGTAGCTCAGTGGTAAAGAGCACTTGCCTGTTGTGCTGGGGCTGTGGGTTTGATCCCCAGCACTACAGAAAAAAAAGGTTACCCTGCCCTGCTGATGCTATAAACTCAATCAATAATGAACATCCTTCTAGATTTCTCTATTTATACCTAGAGATAAACATAATTTTATTAAATTATAGTAATATTATACATACTTTGTGACCTGACTCCCATGCTGATTAGCATATGACAGCATCTTTCCATAACATTTCACCTCAAATCTTTTGTGCACAAAAAGAAATCCATAGACTATTTTGGAATGGCTGTGAAATAGTTTGCAATAGCTTTAGAATATTTTGTAATGGCTGCAGATTGAGATCATAATTCCTTGTTATTAGATTTTTATTTTTAAAATTGCCTAACATTTCGCTATTATATATAAAGCTGACAACAACATCTTTATAACGAAATCTTAATTATTTCCTTAGGATAGAAGTGGAATTACTGGCCAAAGGGTATGTATGCTTTTACTGTATCTTTCTGAATGGCTGTGTATGTGCTGTGGCCAGCAGTGATGGCGCGGGCTGGCATTTCCAGGCTGGTCTTTCTCCACTGGGCCACACGTTAGAGTCAGAGGGCATTTTTAAAAGCAAAGATGCCCAAGACTGGCTCCCAAAGGTTCTGATTTCATACATCTGGGGTTTAAGCCAGAGTTTATAGTTTTTAAAAGCTCCCCAACAGATTTTCCTATGCAGCTAGTTTGGTAGGTGAAAGGGGCACTTTATTATTCAACTGTTGTTTTCTTCTGAAATTCTTCCAGGCACTCAGACTTGGGAGAAGCAGCCCCAGAAATAAAAGCATCAGAGAGAAGAGCAACCGTGGCGATTGCAGGTACATTGGGTCGTGTCCGCTGTGAAGCAGCTTCTTCTGTTCCATTGGGATTCTGGGTCCCAGCACTGGCCTAAGCTGGGGACCATAAGTCTCAAAAACTAAGGAAGTTTAAAGTTTTTATTTTTTCTTTTACTAGGAGATTCCATCTCAGGATCTTCTGTTCAAGTCATTTGCCCATGTTTTAATGGTCATGTTGTCTTCTTTGTTACAAAGTTAGAGGAGTTCTTTATATATTTTGCATACTAGACCCTTAAAACCATAATTGCATAATTTTAATTATTTCCATCCATGGTAGTGTTTGTTGTCCACCCCGCCCCTTTTTTCCCACAATTCTGAGGCTCAAACCCAGCACCTTGAGCATGCTAGGCAAGTACTCTAGAGCTACGTCCCTGGCCCTCACTTTACTTTTTTTTTTTTCAAAACTGGGGATTAAACCCAGAGCCTTAATACTCAGCTACATCTCCAGACCCCTTTTTTATTTTGAAACAGGTAAGTTGTTAAGTTGCCCAGGGTGGCCCTGAACTTGTGATCTTCCTCCCTGCGTGCTGGGATTGCTGGCCAGCACCGCCATGCCCCACTTCTTACTTTTTGATAGTGCCTTTTGATGCACAGGTATTTTTTTTTCTTTTGTTGTCTATGCTTCTGATTTCATATCTGAGAACCGATTGCCAAGTCTAGGTTACAGAAATTTACTCCCATTTTGTCTTCAAAGAATTTTATGGCTTTAGCTCTTATGTTTAGGTCATCTGTTATCCACTTGGTCTTAATTTTCTGTGTATGGTGGAAGGTAGGAATCCACCTTTATTCTTGCACATGCATGCATGTGGGCATCCTTTTTTTTAAATACTGGGAATTGAACCCAGAAATAGTCTTTCCACTAAGGTACATCCTTGGTCCTTTTATTTTATTTTATAACAGGGTTTCACTAAATTATCTAGGCTGGCCTTGAACTTGTGATTCTCCTTTCTGAGCCTCCCGAGTACCTGAGATTACAGGTGTGTGACACTGTGCCACCTTCATTTTTTATTCTTAACACTAATAGCTCCAAGGTATGAAATGGTGACTTAAAATACTCATTTACCCAGGGGATGGTGGCACACGCCTGTAATCCCAGCATTTGGGAGGCTGAGGCAGGAGGATCGTGCAAGTTTGAGGCCAGCCTGGTCTATATAGTGCATTTAAGACCAGCCTGAAATACATAGTGAGACCCTGTCTGAAAAAAAATGAAAAGCCATTTACTTCCCAGTAATAAGTATTTTAAAATTTGACGGAAAACTCTAAAAGGTATGTGGAGTGCTATAATAATGGGGAAAGGCACTCAGTTTGAGTGAAAATGGTTTTAATTGCCTCCGAGTCACAGTTCTTTCTGCATGTGATTTCTATAGTAGGGCCTGGCCCACATTCTGCCCTTGTGCCCTTGTGCCCTCTTGAGTGTGTGTTCCTGCAGGGTCAGAGTTGGGGCTTATCTCCTTTCTGGGCCAGGCCCTGCCCAGTAGGAAGTCTAGTGCAGACCTTGGCTCATGGAGCCAGCCTTGCTCCCTTCCTGCCTATTCCACAGTCTGCCTATCTTCCTTCAGCATCTTTGCCTTCTCCAGTTAGTTCTCTGACCGTGGCTCCTTCGTGCATCCTTGACTGCTTGCATTTGTTGTCTGTCCAGATTCAGATCAGCTGTTTCCTATTCCTAACCAAGCAAGGCCCTGTTTGCTGTAGGTCAGAAGGTTACTCCTATTTCCAGAGCCCTCCAGCCCCATCCCTGCTTCTCTGATGTTCTCTATTCTCTTCTCCAGCCATTTCTCTCCTCGTAGTGTTTGGATTCCTTAGAAGAATTTTCCTGATGCCTTTCCTTCACTTAGAGTAAATAACCTTTGACTCCTAGACATTGTGGTAGGAACCATGTGAGTCATCCTGTGTCCTGTTCTCGGGCTGGAGGTTTGGCTCAGTGGTAGAGCACTTGCCTCTCGTGCAGAAAGCCCTGGATCTCATGCCTAGCACGAGAAGAAATAAGTTGGGAGTGTAGCTCAGTGGTACAATGTGTGCTTCACTCATACGAGGCCTTCAGGTCAGTCTATAGCACCAACAGTCAATTTTTGAATAGGTGAGGCCTTTACTTAGACCAGAAGTCAACAGTAAAATATACACAAAGAGGTCTCCACCATGCCCCTACTGCCTTCCCCTATAGCATGCATTTGCAGGAGGGATTTTAAAGTCCCTTTTTCCCAATATATGTATCTGACTAATTAAATATGCTCTGTAATTAAAATGTAAGTGTTTGTGAATATATCATGCTGTTAGACTTTGGACAAATAGCACTTGACATGTAAGTCACTCTTCCCACTCAGTCCCCCATACCTGGAGGTTTGTCCCATGATACAAATATCATATTTAATAATCATAAGACTTTATGATACAGTAAAAATATTGATAGAAATACTGATAGGAGGTAGGGAATCTTAAAGCCTAGAAATTTTTTTTTTTTTTTTTTTTTTTTTTTTT